AGCTGCTTGTTCTCCTACAGTGATAGGAAGTGACCTTCACAGATTGCCACGAGGAGGACTTGTGCATGCCAGGATGACATCAAGGTTGTCTTCCCCTTTCCTACTAATAACAGTCATTGCAGGTAAAATCCCCAGACAAAGCAGGAGAACAAATTCTTCTCTCCTTAGACCAGGAGAGCCTGAGGCCACAGTGGCTTCAGCACTTTCCTTGCTGTCATTTGGAGTGGCTGCCCCTTGATTCTGGTAAGAAGTTTCTCCTAAAGGTTGCAGTATCAGTTTCTAAACCTAGGAAACTTGTGACTGTTCTGACTTCTTCAAAGAAGGACATATCAGTGGTGTATTAGAGGTCAGTAAACTAAACCTGCAGCCTGCTTTTGTTCTCAAGAGCTAGAAATGTGTGTGGCTCAGCAGCATTAAGTGCATACGTTGCATTTACAGTTTAAAGGAGTTGTGAAATCAAACACAGAGAAGAATGTGTGAAACCCATGTGCCCAAAGCCTAAGTCTATTTCCTGGCCCTCTCCAGCCAAGGCTTGCTGCCCCTTGTGGTGGTCTTTCTGTATATATGGAAAGGTAGTTGGGCATGATGAGAAAGAACGGTGTAGAATCAGAGATCCTTGGGCTCCTTCTGGCTCTGCTGCCATTGTCAGCTGTGTAACTTTGGTGGATTTATATAACCTCTGAGCTTGCTTCCCTCCAACCCTATAAGATGGTGGTAATGACAGTACTTGCCTCAGTTATCATACAGTTAAACCTGAGAACATGTGCAAAGTCAAGTGAGTTAGGATAAGCAAACAATGAGCTGGCCCATGTAAATAACACATACAGGAGAGGTTGGTGGAACCTTTCTCCTTGAAGTGAAGGATTCATGGAGCTGTAGGGCAAGCTGGCCCAAAGAGGAGGCCCGAGCTAAGACAAACTCAGAAAAATGGAGCCCACTGTCAAAATGACTTCCTGGACTTTCAGATCAAGCTAGGGCCTTTTCTTCTTCAGGGCCTGCCAGTTATGAATGCCTGTGAATTCCCATCGTTGTTTAAGTTGGATTAGCTGGGTGTGCTAGCACTTGGAAATGGACGTGTTCTGTATTTACTACCTAGGGCCACTGTAAGAAGGCATTGATCTGTGAGGCTTAATCAACAGGAATTTGTTTCCTCACAGTTCCAGAAGCCACGAGTCTGACATCAACATACTGGCAGAATTGACTTCTCATGGAACTTCTGTCCTAGACTTATACATGGCTCTCTTCTGTCATCACACATCTGTGTTGCTATCTCCTTCATTTATAAGGACACTAGTCTTGTTGGATTAGGGCCAGTGCACCTTCATTTTACCTTAATTACTTCTTTGAAGCCCTATTTCTAAATATAGGCACCTCCCAAGAGACTGGGAAATAGAGCTTCAACTTAGGAATGGGAGGGGGAGGGAGGCATAATTTGACCTGTGACATGTTCTGAGTTTGTTTTCTACACGTATTAACTACTCCTATAAGAGAATTGAAAGAAATTGGTTAGACTGTCAGGACCCCCTCATGGACCTGGGTGGGGAGAATCCCATATAGAGAGAAGATTAGGTAGCTGTTGGGACAAGACACACTTCCTCATCAGGTAAGCATTCATTATCTGTTAGTTTCTCAGCTGCTAGTATCACCTGGATATGTAAGCTACTTTTAGAAGATAAATTTGGACTTTATCTGCATTGATAAAGCTCCTAAGTATTGAGCAATATATGTTAAAGGGTTTTAAAAAAAACCCTTAATTTGTTAGATCATTTTTTAATGAGTCTGCTTTTAGAATTGCAAAACCAGGAAGACTTTCAAAAGGTCTGAGCCTCCAATAGGTTTGACATTCAAACCAGCCCTGCAGGTTGTTTCTCACACCTGGGAGGCTCCTTACCAGCCTGGTCTACCCTGTACTGGTGCCATACTTCAAGTTGACATTTCATATCCAAGAGTAGGGGCAGATGTACTGACATAAATCAGGGCAGGCCTGCAGGAAATTCAGCTTCTTAGCCTAGCACTGGCATTCAAATTCTGCTAACTACAGCTGTGTCAGTCAACTATTGCTGCATAACAAACCACTCCAAAACTTAGGGCTTAAAACAACAGTGTCTTGTTGTGGGTCAGCTTGGTGTTTAGCTGATTTTGCCTGGGCTCACTTGGGCTTCACTCAGCCTGAGGAGCCGCTGGGCAGGGATGGCTGCTATGCCTTATTTCCTGGCAGCAGGTGTGTGTGGGTCCTCCTCAGTGTGGCCTCTAGGTAGGCTGGATTTCATCAGGGACCACATGGAAGCAATCCAGGAGAGCCAAAGCTGGCCGCAAGACCCCTTGAGGTCTAGTCTAGCCTTGGAAGTTGCACAGGGTTACTTTTGTCATGTACAGCACAGGACCAAAGCATGTCATGAGGCCAGCTCTGATGGAAGGAGTGAATAAAGATACCCCACCTTCTGGCATGAGGAGTGAAGGCTGTGACTCTAACCATCTGCCACGGCTGCTAGTATTCCCTGACCCCAGGTGTAGTGCTCCCATTGTGATTTGTATGAAGTACTGGTGGAAAAGTATGTCTGACTTATGAGGCAATGTGTATTCTGTGTTTTTCTCAGAGTATGTTTGAGTGTGCTTTTTTGGCATGTATTATTTTAAAACATGTACTAAATGGCAGGTGTGTCTTTTACACCTTGCTTCTGGGAGGAAGTAATTTAGAAATTGTATCCTACATCATTTCAGCCAACTCAGTGAGGTTCTTAAACTGGGCTGTTCAAATAAATGACTGAAAAGATTAACATTTACATTTGTCAGAAGTTTCAAAATCAGTGTTTCCTAAACTGACTAAAATATTACCTTTGCTGTCCTAGATGATTTCAAGCATCCCTTAATTGTTATTTGGAGAGTTTTTATTAAAATATGCAATATATTTTGATTATAGGTCCCAATAATCAAAAGGGAGGTCAAATTCTAGCACATTTGTATATTCAGATACAGTGTACACACATATAAAACTGTTGCATTTCAAAAGGTATGTGTGTATCCATACATATACATATAACACACACACATGCAAACATACAAACATATCGCTATAGATAAAACCACACAAGTCAGGTGTGACCAGTGGCTTGTGATCTCTGTGCTCACACAGTCTTGCATTTCCTCCCTCATCAATCTGTCCCTTCTTAGCAGATGGCTGATGTCTGGGATTCTACCATTCTTCTCTCTCTAACCTCTACACACTCTCAACTTTGTTCAGCACAGACAAATATACTGAGACCCAGACTTCTGGTTTTCATTTCATTCTACCAGTGTCCTCTTTATTGACCAAAGTCAGTGGGAAAACAAAGTCAATCCTGTAACTGTTTCTCTCCCTTACTCCTACCTCAGGCAGGTCCCAGTTTCCTTAGTTGCACAGCCACCCATGTGCAGGCTTTGTTCTCACTACCCCCATCCATCGCCATACTGTTGATGAGCTCCACAGGGCTTAGATGCTCCTCAACAAAGCAGGTGGAGTGAACTTTGGAGAATAAGAATCTAAATACAGGTTTCTTTCTTTGTGGTAGACTACCTTAAGAAGGAATCCCATAAAATTACTGGGGTCCAAAAGATTCATGAGTCTATGAAATTATACACTATGTATAAATGTTTATATCCCTGTGTGCATTTTCTGAGATCTGTCTTTCATCATGTTCTCCTAAGCACATAGGACCTAAGGAAAGAATAAAATACCTCACTCTGTGGGGTCTCCGTGAAAAAAAGCAAAGGACAAAAGGATAGGAGAACAAACATTAGAGCCTATTTCACTATATTACCTAGCAGAGTGTTGTGTCCATCCCAACCCCTACCCCCACATACGTGGTACAGGGCAGGTGGGGAAGTTCAAGGTCAAGAAGAAGAGAAACTTTGGAAGAAATCAGTGATCCCAACTGAGAATGAATCATGCCAATGAGACGGCGAGAAACAGTGAGTGAGGTCCTCCCATTTAAGCAGAATTTAGACAACACTTGACCCTCTCCAGCGTCTACTGAAATGATGGGAAGCACTCGAGCTTTGTAGCTACTTGGATATATCTAGATCCAGATTTGAATGTGACCTGTCAATTAACTTTGGGCCATTTGACATTCCCTGTAATCTCTGAAACCTAGTTTCAGGTATGTGTTGGTTTTTGAGACAGGATCTCACTATGTAGTCCAGGCTGACTTCAAACTCTCTGTGTAGCTCAGGTTGGCCTCGAACTCACTATCTTCCTGACTTAGCCTCCCGAGTGTTGGAATTACAGGTGTGCACCACCATGCCCAGCTCTGAAACCCAGTTAAGAAATCATAGAAGGAAGTGAAGGGAGTCTACTAAATATGTGATGGAACTCACAGGCCCTTAGCCAGTGCTGATATTGTCAGATTTTGATGGTAAGGTTGGTGCTTGGGGGCTGGCCCTGAAGCGGATGCCAGGGACTGCTTGGCCACAGAGTTTACCCCGTGGTCCCGGCGGCGAGGGTGGCTTAGGGCACAGGTTAGGCTGTGGTCGGGTGGGCTCTTGGTCAGCCTAAGAGCTGAGGTGACTGGATAATGTATGATAATGTAGTTATGCTCTGTTCATATGTTGGTGGCTGGCAGTGTTTATGAAAACTGGTTAGGTCTTGAGGAATAGAATTCTTAGGTAAAAAGAAGAGACCGTGACACTGACAGACATTGACACGGTTTCCCTTTGTCCAGTGTTGATGCCGTGTAGCTTGCGGGTGAAACTTGCCCTCCCACCCAGGTATTTTGTGACGTCAAGAAAGTATTTCCCCTTGTGGGGACACTCATTGGTCTGCTCACCCATGCGGGGACAATCATTGGTCCTCTCGCATTAGTCCGCCCGCCCACTCAGGGTGCTGATTGGTCCGCTGACTAAGGCAGGGACGCTCATTGGTTCATCCTCCACAGCCCTCAGGCTTCTCTTTGACCACCGGCAGCCGGAGCTACTGCTGACCTTGACTTAAATCCTGTCCCACCTGCCAAGGCTTAGGTCAGGAACCAGCATGGATGCCGTTTCTTCCCTGAAAGGAAAATAGGCAGCCTTGCCACAGGCCATGGCTTTCCCTTCGCTGTGATCCCTGGGGTAGGACGCGATGTATCCAGATGACAGGTGTGTTTATCAAAAATGCCCTTTGTCGTTTGTAGCGTCAGAAACATTTACGCTGGTCCAACCTACTGAATGTTTTCCTCAGACTGAAGCTTTTTTTTTTTTTGAGATTGGGTCCCCCAATGTGGTCATCTCAGGTTTTGCATTGTAGGCCCCCTCCTTGAAGGGACTGTGGTCTCTCAGTGACCCCGTTTTCCTCCTTGCCCCCCTGTGACTGAGTTAACTCAGTGAGAATCGTAGGGATTAATCGTACCTCGGTGTCCAGGAGGGCTATGGGGAGAGAACAAGTCTAAGTAGTTCTGACCAAGTGCATAGAATAAACCTTACATGATAAAACTGGTGCAGCAGCGTTCACATTGTTACGAAACAAAGTATCGTTTAACAGTGGCCGTTTCTGTGCCACTATTGATTGCTTCCCAGGAAGCCATATATCCTCCTCCAAAGGTTACAGTGTAAGTAAAACATATCTGCCCAAAAAAGCCCCTAAGCACATTAACTCATTTTTTTAATGAATTAAAGTCATTAAGTGAAAGACTCAATATTACAGCTGCCAGCAGGTTCTGTTACTAAATCTGTCAGGACTCTGCTTAGCTACCGTGTATGGCACCCATGAATGCAGCCTTTGTGGTGGCAGAGCCTCAGGTTTCCCTCTGTTTCCCAGTCACTGTCTGTTCTAGGGGCACCCACCTCGGCATGCTGGGTTTCACTAACTCAACCCAACAAACATTGATTTTCTGCTGTGCTAAGATAGACTAGCTCCAGATGCCTTCCCTGGTGCAGATTTCAACCTGTAAAAAAGAGAAGTGTGGTTCTGTTTCTTATTAATAAAAATGGTAAAATAGTAAGAACTCTAAAGATTTTAATTGCTTATAGCCTGACAGGTAGATAAGTTGTACCATCCTCATTTTAATTCATTGTTTTCTTCTTGGTGCTGAGAGTTGGACCCAGGGGTTTGCACATGCTTGGTGAGTCCTCTACTACTGAGCTATATTTTTCCAGCCCTTAACATATTTTTTGTTTGTAACCCAGACTGGCCTCAAACTCCAGATCCTCCCTAGTGTTGGGAGCTTGTCACCACACCCTGTCTATCCATCCCCATTCTATGCTATGTAATCTGAAGCTCAAAGATTAAATAATAGTCTCACAGGTGGTAGAGCTGCGTTTTAATTTACATCACCTTTCTGTACAATGTTAGAATCTAATGTCATTCTTAGACTTAAGGGGAGGGAAAAAACCACAAATGAGGGAGACCAGCATGTTTTTTGTGGAAAGCCTTCTTGCATGAGGCCCTGGGTTCAATCTTCAGCAGAACAACAACAGAAGTAAGAGGAATATAAGCTTCAAGTTCAAGAATGCTTAGTAGTCAATGTAAAGATACTAGGTACAATTTCTGAACTAGAGATAATTAGATTTAAAGACTATAATTGACTCTGTATGGGTTCTATTTATTTCCTGTAGTATACATGTTCCACAGTGTCTTGCGTTATAAACATTTGTTTATTTTCTAGCCATTTCCTATTGAAATATCTCCACAGTAAGGGGTCAAGACAGATGTCCACCTGCAATTGCCCTAGCTACTTAACTGAATATTGAAAGTATGAATTAATTATGTAGTGCCGTGTATAGAATGAGTGCATTTACAGCATCAGTGTTCTGTTTTCCTACGAAAGCCCTTCTTTCAGATCAGAATCTGAAGGCAAACAGAGCCAGCCAGTCATGTGGGGAGCATTACAGGGCATCATTTTAATGTGTTTGCTTTTGGGTTCATTTCCACATTTAAATCTAGGATTCCATTCAGCCAATATAACCCAGTAATAAATGTTACACTCATACTATAAAAATGATTGTAGAAAGAAATTAGGGAAAGAGGAGAGAGATATTACTGCTGGACTTTTCCTCTCTATCTTACTGTCTGAGCTGCTCCTTGCTGACTTGACGAGGCTCACTCACCCCCCACCCCACCCTGGGAAACAATGCTCACCAGGTTGTTTTCCTTGTCTGTGCAGTGTGAGTAATGGCTGCCCGCCATGTGAAGTAGTTGTCATGATAAACTAGGTGATGCCATTTAATAGAGGGGGTTCAGGCACCACTGGGCGAGAAATCCAGGTCACTGGTCATAAACAGCTTCATCCTAGCAATGAGAGGCTTGTGCTGGTTATCATCTGTCTTTGTACTAACAACTAGAAATCACTGGCATAAATTGGGTTAGGTGTTACATTGAACTATATCAAATTGCCCTATTATTTTTGAACTAACATGATACCAAGTTAGTACAAAGTATAATAAAAGAAATTTGTTTAAGTTTTAGACTCTTGTGATATAATTTTTAAACCTTTTTATTTAAAAATACTACCCATTAAAAACAAGCTCAGTAGTCTGAGAATTCATGCAGCTAACACCTTTCACTTTCAGAAGCAGCAGTATTCATGACAAAAATGACATAGAATGGTAGAGATGGGTTCTAGGACTTTAGAAAAGAATTAAACTCCAAAAACATCACAAGGTCCTAACTACAGTAATGCTAGAGTGAAATATGCTTCTGAAAGAGGAATGGTCATGGCAAGAAGGAAAGGGAGTGCTTAGCAAATTAGGCAGGTACAGGGAGGGGGGAATGACTAGAAGGAGGAGTGCCCAGCAAAGGCCTAGTGCAGACCTATAGGGGGATGGTTGGGGCTCCAGACCCGCAGAAGCTTGCTGATGAGAACGTGCTTTCATCCAAGTAGCTCAGGTGGATCTGGACAGAGAAGGAGGAACTGCTCTCTCTTCTCCCACAAGAATGAATTCAGAGCTCAAACCCTGAAAGACCCTCAAAGACCATGCTCATTACTGATGTCCAAAATCACATTCCGGGGGATTTGTTTTGCTTTGCTATTTAAAAAGTGCAATATAAAGAGCTGAAAGAAAGAATCTGTGCCATGCTTGATAATATATTAAGTTGCAGTCAACTTGGTAAGGGTGAAAAAAGTAATCAGATCCTTTGGTGGTGTGGAGAATTACTGAAAAAGGAGGGTACTAGATGTCCAGAACTAGGTGATGAGGCGTGCAGATAATGTGGGAGCACCATTACCCCCTTTCTGTTTTTCCCAGAACTTGCTGAGTTTCCTTTCTACAATGTGCAGAAGGTAAGTTTAATCACTGAGGTCATATGGTATCCTAATGACATCATTTAACATACTTGTATCTTAAAATAAAATGTAGGTTGAGTATCCCTGGCTCATGCAAAGTGAGCTCTAAATCCAAAAGTGCCACAGTGTAATCTTTCTGGCTAACATGAGACCACAAGTGGAAAATCCCACACCTGACTTCATGTGGTGGGTCACAGTGTAGATGCAGGTGCAGAACATGTATTGTGTAAATTACCTTCAGGCAATGTATAGGAGACAGAAATGAATTCCTTGTTTAGAGTTCAGTCCCACCCCTGAAGAAAATCTATAATCTGAAACACTTCAACTTACGTAAGAGTAAAGTTTCTCCTTGGCTCTCTTATTCTATATTATTATTACAACTGAATTACATGACTAGAACTTTAGCTACTTCAGAAAGTCTTCTGATGACTTTCAAGTAGAATGTTCTGGAATCTTGTGATTTTCTGTTTGTGGCTGCTTAAATTACTTATGTCATTTCTGTTGTGAAAGCAGACTTCATAAAGATAGGATTAATAACTACAGCATGTGATCATCGAAGGTTTAATGGCGTGCCTTTCTCTGTTGTGCTGTTTCATGTAGACATACGAGATTTTTACTGACTTCTAGCTCACTAGATTATCTTGTGCCAAATTATAAGGGAAAATGTATGTGGAGGTGGACTTGCATGTCTTTGTGAACGTCTGGTGAATCTCTGAGTGCGATGGATGCTTGCCGAAGCTAGCATCAGTGGTATCATGAGCTTGCTGTTCTCATGAGGGTTTTGTTGTTGCCTTGGCAACTGTCATTGGGTTTTCACAACTATAATATGGAAAATAGATTTAAAGTCTTCAAATTAGAAAACCAGCAGTGGGAACTACATTTTATTTGTCATTTAGTTGAAATTGTGGCATTTTAGCAAAAGGTATCATTTATTCAGTTGCAAATCTTACTTACTCCGAATCGAATGTGAAACTAGGAGTTTTGTCAAATGTTACCATTGCTTTAATCACAGATCACCTTCTCTTGTTATCCATAGGTCTCTTAAGAGCCTTTTAAATTCTTTATGATATTCTATTGCAGTGTTTTTAATTCTTCTCACCTCTCCAGATGAATTCTTCCTTCCCTGTTCCCATCACTACCCATGGTGCATTCTTACAATCTTAAACCAGAAACTCCTGCTGGGAGCCTGGTCACATGCGATCTGTGTGTGCATTTCTTAGTGCTGGCAGCTATAGCGTTTGTCCCCATCATGCAGACAAGACACTGCCTTGATGGTCCTTGAAGGCTGAAGGACCATCAGTGTCCTTAGCATAAGAAACCTGCTGTTACAGAGCATTGTGATGACATAAAATTCTCTAGACTGCACACTTGCCAAATTTAATAAATAATATGAAGAGGTGAGATGAGGTTATAACCTTTGATGAGACTCAGAAAGAAAAGGAAGGAATTGATGCTTGGGATAAAAGGACAGGTGTTAATCAGGCATTTGCTGGTTAATAGCAACTTAAACCAGAGCTTTTCCTAGTTGCAGATCTGTGAGCTGCTTTTCAGGGTATGTATGCAATGAGTTTGAAATCCTCACCTTCAGGACAGTGTGCATGGATGGATCCTTAACCCCAGTGGTGATGGAATGAATTTGAAGTTCCATTTTAAAAAAATAAATAATCTACCCATGGGCGATAGAGGTAAGGCCTTAATTTGAAACCTACTGAAGTCTCTCTGTTCCTATTAAGATCAGAAATTAGAAAAAACATTGCAAAAAGAGAGGGGCGGTGAAGTTAAGCCAGCTTATGAGAGGAATTGAAGCAGCTCACCTGTAACATGTTAAAATCCCTCCCTGTGTCTTGTTTGTGCCTGGATGCATTATATGTTATTTCT